GGGGGGCGATTTGCTAGTAACACGTCTCCACGCCAAAAGAAGGGAGGGCGTCATGGGCACCAGGGCGAACTATGCTTCTAGCGTTAACCACACTTCTCTCTCCCCCACATCTGCACTTAAATTACCAGATGCTATTCGCCGGTCTCATGCAGCGGGGGGACGCATCTTACCCCGCCATTGACCTCATTCCGACCACAATACCCGTCGTTTGGATGCGCCTACCTCGCATTTTGCGATGGGGTCAGGTCTCCATCCCGCTCCCAATTTCAGTCACTGGGGCGACACACTGGCGGGCTAGCGGCGCGGTGCTGTACTGGTTGTCGATGTCAAGCACCTTGGATACCCGGCGCTTAGGTACTATGCTGCTCTGGAGGAGGGTGTGTGTGCAGGACGAACGGCATCGGTTTGAACCGGCCTCTGCGCGCCTTCGGCACTTCGTTACTACCTTGGCTGTATCGCCCAATGCCATGCCCACCACCCTTGACAGGGTTAGACGTCCATGTACGTGCAAAGCGCTGATCCGAGCTTCTCTTCACAGCTCACGGGTAGGAGGAAGTCGATGCAGCAGGGGTGGGTGCACAGGCACGACGGGAATTCGAGGACAGGAATGGCCCGCCGCAGCACGGCTGGGAATCGGGTGGACTAGGTCGCTGATGGATGGTGCTCGGGGTGCTGTCGCATCAATCCCGAATCGTCTGCGGCCTCACCTGGCATTGGCAGGTAGGTCACCCCCTTGCCTGGTAAATGTGGGCGAGGCGTGGACCTCGAGGCAACTTCCTTCGTCACAGCTTTGATCCAGACTCCACCCCGCTCTGGACTGTTTAGTATAACAACTCGCCTCCGCCCCTACCTTTCCTTCGCAAACCTCCCCTCACTGAACCCTTCATTTCCAGTTTCTTCTCACCAGTTTTGCATTCTGCACCAATATACCCCGTTCCTGTTGCAGAGACTCCTTCCCCAAACTATACCAAACCACCCTACCCCACCCTTTCACCACACACATCTTCACAATGGGTCTTTCCGCCGAGCTCAAGACGCCCGTTACCGGCACCTACACCCAGCCCACCGGCCTGTAAGTCTCCGCGCTCTCGCGCATGATGCACTGCTCCTCACGACGTCCGATTACTCTGTCGCGACGCGCACACTAACTGGATTGTCACAGGTTCATCAACAACGAGTGGGTTGAGGGCGTCGACAAGAAGACCTTCGAGGTCGTGAACCCTTCCACCGAGGAGGTTATCGTCTCCGTTTCTGAGGCCACGGAGAAGGATGTCGACATTGCCGTTGCCGCTGCCCGCAAGGCCTTCAACGGTGTCTGGCGCCAGACCACCCCCGGCCAGAGGTCCATCTACCTCCTGAAGCTTGCCGAGCTCGTTGAGAAGAACATTGACCTCCTCGCCGCCGTTGAGTCTCTCGACAACGGCAAGTCCATCACTATGGCCAAGGGCGATGTCGGTGCCGTCGTCGGCTGCATTAGGTACTACGGTGGATGGGCCGACAAGATCGAGGGCAAGACCATCGATGTCGCCCCCGACATGTTCCACTACACCCGCCAGGAGCCCGTACGTTCACCCCTTTCTTTCTTCCTCCTCTTCCCGGGAGCTTGGGACGTGTTTGGCTGACCCTCTGTCCATCAGATTGGTGTCTGCGGTCAGATCATCCCCTGGAACTTCCCCATCCTCATGCTGGCCTGGAAGATCGCCCCCGCCCTGGCCACCGGTAACACGGTCGTCATGAAGACTGCCGAGCAGACCCCTCTGTCCGGTCTCGTGTTCGCCAACCTCATCAAGGAGGCTGGCTTCCCCCCCGGTGTCTTCAACCTGATCAACGGTTTCGGCAAGGTCGCTGGTGCCGCCATCTCCTCTCACATGGACATTGACAAGGTCGCCTTCACTGGTTCCACTCTTGTCGGTCGCCAGATCATGAAGGCGGCTGCCGCCTCCAACCTGAAGAAGGTCACCCTCGAGCTCGGCGGCAAGTCGCCCAACATTGTCTTCAACGACGCCGACATTGAGCAGGCCATCTCTTGGGTCAACTTCGGCATCTACTACAACCACGGCCAGTGCTGCTGCGCCGGTACTCGCATCTACGTCCAGGAGGGCATCTACGACAAGTTCCTCGAGGCTTTCAAGAAGAGGGCCCAGGAGAACAAGGTCGGCGACCCCTTCCACGATGAGACCTTCCAGGGCCCCCAGGTCAGCCAGCTTCAGTTCGACCGTATCATGGAGTACATCAAGATTGGCAAGGAGGAGGGTGCCACCGTCGAGACCGGTGGTGAGCGTCACGGTGACAAGGGCTACTTCATCCAGCCCACCATCTTCAGCAACGTCAAGGCCGACATGAAGATCATGCAGGAGGAGATTTTCGGCCCCGTGTGCGCCATCGCCAAGTTCAAGGACGAGGATGAAGTCATCGCCCTCGGCAACGACAGCACCTACGGCCTGGCCGCTGCCGTCCACACCAAGGATCTCAACACGGCCATCCGCGTCAGCAACCAGCTCAAGGCCGGCACTGTCTGGGTCAACTGCTACAACATGCTCCACCACCAGGTTCCCTTCGGTGGCTTCAAGGAGTCCGGTATCGGCCGCGAGCTCGGCGAGGCTGCCCTGTCCAACTACACGCAGAACAAGTCTGTGGCGATTCGTCTGGGCGGTGCGATCTACTAAGCAAATCTGTTTTTTTTTTTCTTTAGGCTATTATTTTCACCGGATCACGGTCAAGTTAATGAGGGATATGAAAATGATTTGGGGGCTTTGGGATTGGCTAACGCCAGACATGTACATTCGAGTTGACGAAGACTAGTTGTCGAAAAATGACACCAGTAAATGAACATGACACCGAGGCTCGTTGCTTGTGATCTGATGATTACGCGCTCGCGACGTGATACACCGAGGTGGGGGGCACAGAGGGGTAGAGCGCGGAAGGTTTTCTCTTTACCCACCGAAGCGCAACACGGTGCCGAATGACATCGAACTGGGTAGTGTAGATACTGTGTTCGCATGCCCCGCCAACCCCCGCTCTCCGTCTCGCTGGCGGCGGAGCCTTTTCACGGACGGAGGTTCGCGTTACTGACGCGAACACACTCTAGGTAAGTTTGTCGGCTAAGGAACCAAGCGCCGACTTCAAATCAACACTTTTGCATCGCCGACATGTCCTCCTACCATCAGCGGTCCACTTCGCAGACAGGCGGCCCTGAAAAGACGTACTTTGAGCAGCAGCGCGAGGTTCTCATTGGGGAGATTGCCATGGTACGTTCAGCCGCGCAGGCCCTTCCCCCACGCTCCTCCCATCTGACCCGACGTTCCCAAACCAGAGCTTCGAGCATGTCCTCGCCAACATCAACAAGCTGAACCGCTCTCTCGAGGCTGTCACTGCGGTATGTAGCCAAGTAGCCCGAAGACCAATCCGCTCCATGTGTGATTCTGACCTTACGCCACCCCAGGTTGGCAACGAGTTCTCCTCCGTCGAAGCCCTCTGGTCGCAGTTCGAAAACGTCATGGCCAAGGAGCCGGCTGAAGACAACGGCAGCAAGAGCGGCAGCAAACCCGCCAACGAGAGCCCCAGCCGACGAGACGACGAGACGAACGGCGAGGACGACCAATAACTGGCGTTGGCGTGCAGACATGGCCGCCTGCGCAGCGCCCTCGCCTGCCGAGACCAGGATTTATTGCTGGCGCTGGTTATACAACACTGGACCAACGGCCCGGATCGCCCCCTTGATGGTTTGATGGCATTCCTGATCAGCAGCTTGTCATCCCGTTCTCGAGACATAAGTCCTGGTTGAGTGGATCGAGCCTTGCCTCACCGCTTCAGTATGTCGTTTATGCAGCCTGTGCAGGCCAACGTAGGCACAGCGTTGCATTGAGATGTGGTTCTCGAGCGTTGCGTTGCCAGGAAGAGGAAGCTGAACCATGGGATGTGTGCAATGATGCACGTCCGGCTGGGCGGCTTTGTTCCTTTACAACGTGAGCGGCATGTCTGAGACGACTTGTCAAGCTTCCTGTTGAGCCTGGGCAAAATGCATGTTACGGCATTAGACTTTTAGTCGCCATACTGGCCATTGGAGACGGTGTGCCGTAAAGCTCACGGGGGCATTATCAAGGAATTTGCCAAGTCGACATCCTGGTCGGCGCGATCTCTTTACTTGCTGCAGAAAGGCAGTATCCAGAGGCTTGCCCGGGATGACAAGTCACATCGAGGACAACACATGAAGTGCGGGGTGCTGCGGCGGTCCCAAGGTTCGAGTAGAGAGAGGGCTGGTGTGGCATGCGGCACACCTGGATGCTACTCCGAGGGCCGGTGACTTGCACGTGGATAAGATACCTTGCTCAATGCATTCCCTACCTTGACATGGACTCATGACTCCAGACCTTGAGAAGCGCCCTCTGTCTTCATGTTGCGCACATATGCGACGGAGGAATCTGCGACGGAACCTTTGATAACAGGATTGCTGATCAAGGTCGAATTCTATCATACCCGCCGGTGTGCATAAGTAGATGATGTGGGATATTGCTGACATGTGCTCCGCTCATTCTTCCTTTTCCGCAGTAGTAGCACTGCGGGAAGTTGTTATCTTGGGTCGAATAGTCATGCATGACCGATCCAACACTCCACATCCATGGTAGACAGATGAGCATCGATCACAAAATGGCAGGATGTAGGGTCACGGAGCAGTAGTATGCCCCCCCCCCGGATCACTCCAGGACAGCCATGCACGCAGATAAAACAGCGCATCCGAATGCAGAAGTCACTCGAGCTCGTGAGCCGCAGCATGTCATGAAAAAAAGTCATTCATTACTCCTTGAGCCCCTGGCCCCTGGCCTGGCCCCAAAGTTTGGCGGTTGTTTGTTCGCGTGACACAGAAACAAGATGAAAAAAAAGTCCCATATCCTGATATCCCCATGCCCGAGCCTTCCACGTTTCTCATCTTACAGCAGCTTGCAGCTCCTCTTCTTCTTCTTCGGCATGCCCACACCAGGGATGTTACCGCTTCCGCCTCCCGCACTGGCGCGGCCGCCATTTGATGACGACGACACACCAGTGGCCATCTGGGCCTCGATGTTTTTCCGGTCGTTTGCGACAACGGTGAGAATAGCCCTCTCAAAAATCTCGTCAACGCCCGTCATCTCTTTACTGCTGCACTCGGCATATTGAGCATTCATCTTCTTGGCGACGGTCTGACCCTGTTCGGTTGTGACGGGAGTAAGGCCCTGGGTCTTGAGCATATCGATACATGTCCTCTTAAAGCGGAGGTCGGACTTGAGAGCAACCAGCACGAGGGGTGTGTAGGGGCAGAAGTGGAGGACTTCAGGGTACCACTGCGTTGCATTAGCGTCTTGGTCATATCCATACGAGTGGCGAAGAGTCTCGAGTAGGGCGTACCTTGTCCATAACGTTCTCAAGCGAGTTGGGGCAGTCAATGGCGAAACAGACAAAGATGAGATCGGTCTCGGGGTAAGAGAGGGGTCGCAGGCGGTCGTACTCCTCTTGGCCGGCTGTGTCCCACAGAGCGAGCTCAACCGTCTTGCCAGTCGGTGGGTGCGTGGGGTAGGTGATGTAGTTCTCGAACACTGTTGGAACATATTTCTGCAATAATACTCAGTCAGTCATGCGGTCGCAGTTGGACGTGGATGACGAGCCGGGTGACGTACCTCCGGGAAGTAGCCTTGGCTGTAGCTGATGAGCAGGCATGTTTTGCCGCAGCCACCGTCGCCGACGACGACAATCTTCTTGGAGTAGGCGGGGCCCTCGGTGAGGTGAGTAGCGGCCGACTCGCGGCCGGTGGAGGAGCTCATGGTGGTGCTCACGGTGCCGTCGCTGCTCCTGATACGTTGGTTGCGGCGAGCGCCCGACGAGTTGTTGTGGCTGTCCTCGTATTTCTCGGTGGACAGGTAGTTGTTGGTGCTGTTGTTGTTGTTGTAGTACGAGTTGCGATACTGCGTAGACGCCATGACCGCGCGACTTGGGTCAAGCGCAAGCTGCGTCTCCCGGTTCAATGAGCCTCCTTGAAGCGGATTGCTTCACTTTGAGGGGGGGGCCTCGCTGTCTCGGGGAAGCGGTGGCGCAAAGTGCAGGGCTGCGTCTCTCTTGGTGGAGGATTGCGGTGGCTTGACGTGGGTAAAGAGAGGCTTGTTGGAATGTTGACGACTCGAACGTGATGGATAGCACTACTGGCGAACGGGCGACCCTGAATAGCTACTGGGAGAGAGGGGGGTGTGATCTGGCTGGAATGTGAGGATGACTCTTGTTTCTCGCAAAGGCGAAGCAAACGAGGCAGCGCGGGCGAAGTGGGTGTTTGTCAGGTATGCGAAATGAGGAAAGCTGAACGGGACCTCCAGAGCAGGTGCGGTGCAGTGTAAGGTACTTGAAGGGAGTTTGGCAAGGCAGGGGCAGGTGCGGAGGTTGACGACTTGCCTTGCTTGCATGTGGTAAACATGTCGACCGGGCAACCAGCCACGCTACGACGCCACGGTGACGCGAAGGACCAGCGTTATCAATCTATCTCAGGCAGAGAGGAAAGGCACGTGACCCTGCCCATAGCTCCCATGGTCTGTGCGCTAGGTCCATCCACCTCCGCCTTCAAAAGAAAAAAGTCGCCATCGTGAACTGCGGGCTCTTTGGGATTCCTCCTCCATCACACCCACCTCACTCCATTCTCCAAGCTGTGCTGCTGGAAGACTTCCCCCAGACACAGACACTGTCAATCGTCAGGAGCGGGTTTCTTCGCGGCTTCGAGACGACACATCTCCAGGACCACGCACCTGGCCGCACACAAGGGACAGCCCGCACGCGCTTTCACCACGATGGCCTCGTACTTGTCTCAGAGCACACACGGCTCCGAGAACAAGTACGTGACTCTCGTCTCTGGCGATGGGTACGAGTTTGTTCTGCTCCGCGAGGCGGTCATGATCAGCCCGGTCATCAAGGGTATGCTGGATCCTCGCAGTCAGTTCATGGAAGCAGTCTCGGGGAGATGTGTCTTCATGGAGATCAGGTAAGTTTCTTCTGCTTTCTGTCCTTCACTCATCACCTCGCGCGTCACCTTGATGAAACGCTTTTCCGAGTGCTTTCCGAAAGACCATCGACAACGTTCTCGAGCGGTCTGCATGAAAAATCTTTTCCACGTACACTTGATCTGAGACGCAACATTGCCCACCATTGCCCTCTCGCGGTGCCTTTCTCCTCGGGAGGTCATCGACTGACACGACCAGTGGCATCGTGCTGGAAAAGGTTTGCGAGTACTTTCAGTACTGGTACAGGTATCGCGAACGGGAGGACGTGCCTGACATGGACATACCCGTCGAGCTCTGTCTTGAGCTGCTAGTCGCAGCTGACTATCTTGGCTTGGACAGTATGTTCTTTCAGACACCCTATCCCGGGACTGTCCCATCTGACGAGCAGCAGAACAAAACTCTGGCATTTGATTTCGCCCTTCATGGGTCCTGCTTTTGCACCTGGAGTTGGAGTTTAGGATTGGCAAACCCACAGCGCTGCTGCTTGGCACGGCTGCTCCAGTGGGCGGTCACACACGATACCAATGTACGATTTGACGACTTCGCACGCGGCCAACACGCACTCTTCGTTTTCCTTTTGGTCGTTCGCACCTTGCCATTCCGGCTACTCCCACACACGTTTCCCCGTGACATGGACCCATCTCAGCATATGCGTTCGATTCTTCATTACTCCGTGGATCGAACGTCTATTAGATTTGGAAGATGAATTCAGCCCCCATACTCTGCCCAGCACAAGCTCTCCGTTGGGTTTGGGTTTTTTTCTGAGGGGTTACATATCTTGATTCGTAGACAGCTTTGAACGCTGTATTAGTTGGAATAGCAAATAGACTACAACTCTCGCGAGCTTGACTTTTCTCCCGCTTTGGTTGGCTACGCATTTGCTTGTGAATCCCTTGCAATGGGTTCCCCTGCGTCGTTCGGCCGTTTCGTAAATAGCCAGGGTGCTGCTGTGAACTCCTCAAGCGCTCAATGAAATCTCCCACGCCCGCGCCCGCGTCCCCTACCGCCCCTTCCACCTCGTCCGCCGTCCCGGCCACCATGACCGCCCCTCCCTCCGCGAAAGCCACCCCCGAACCTCTCGCTCGGCGGCGGCGGTCCTTCTGCCTTCCTCGCCATCCTCTCGTCCTCGCTGGCGTGCCACAGGTTCTCCACCTGCAGCATCTCGCAGAATGCCGCCGTCTGCGGGTTCGTGTACTCAAACGGCTGATCCGGCACGTTCCGCCAGTTCGGGCTCCCGTCGTGCGGCGGCGCCGTGAGGACAAAGTTGGCCGGGACGTCGAGGGCCGCGACATGCTCGCCGACCCAGGCGCGCGCCTCGTCGATGAGGGGTGCGTAGTGCGCCTCGCCGCGGTCGCGCGCCGCGTGGGCTGCGCGGTCGCCGATTGTGAGCTCGCCGTGGAGGGCGCGCGTGATGGCCAGCCACTCGGGGTCGTACTGCAGCGGGAAGCGACCGGGGTGTTGGGGCGGCGTGGACGGCGGCGCGACGAGGCTGCCGTCATGGGGATGAATGTCGAGGAGCTGGAGGAAGTGGCGGCGAGGGAGGCACTTGTCGAGTGCGAGGAAGCGGACTTGCTTGTTCGTGATTGTTGCGGGCACAGGCTGGCCGGGTGTCGTCTTGGGCTGGGGTTTTGGTGCGGCAAAAGAGGCAGGAAGCTGGGCTCGAAGGTCGGCTGAGACGTGGCTGACGGGCTTTGGCTTGTCTTCAGGTTTGATAGTTGGTGCCGCAGGGGCAGGTTCGTCGTCGTCGTCGTCGTCGTCATCGTCGAGGCTGATCTCGTTTGGGTTTGCTGTAGTGCTCGCAGCTGCAGTGGGAACAGCGACATCATCGTCGTCGTTGAGGTCGATCTCCTCTGGATTTGCCTCTGCTACTATAGTCGGAGCAGCAGCAACAGATGCTGTTCGTTGCGCTTGCGTCTCAGATTTGATGCCACCATCCTTTGTCTCGGCACCAGCGTCCCCCAGATCGAACCGCTTCAGCGCCGAGAACTTGCAATGCAGATGCGCCGAGAACCAGTACGGTGGCCTCAGTCTGTCAAGCACATACTCGGCAGCAACGTTGCCTAGCGTGCCGTCTCTCGACTCGGCCTCAAAGTCGGGCTTCATCCTCCAGAGCGCCTTCTCGTCTCCCCACTTCTCAATGGCCCGCGGCCAGTCATGGCTGATGCCGACATCGACCTGCTCCCTGACAAGCAGCAGCTTCCGCACGTCAACCTCGCGGACGTGGTAAAAACTCTTGACGTCATCCACGCCAAACGGCAACCTCTCGTGATGCCCCTTGCGGTAGTCAAAGCCCTTCCAGATGCCGCTCATGCCGGCGATCGCAGCGGCCCGAGGCGCAGCACATTGGCGGCACCGAGGTAGTAGATGTTGGGCGCGGCCAGCCCCGTAGTAGAGCTCCCAAAGGTGCGACGCCGCTTCGTGGTTGCCGCCGCGAACAGCGTTAGGTAAGGTGCCGTGCGCGCGCCGGCGTAGTACTCCCAAAAGTCGCCCATCTCGCGGTACTTGGCAGGGACCGACATGACGGTGAGGTCGGCGGCGTTTCGAACGGCCTGGAAGTCGCCGCCGATGATGAGCACGTCAACGCCGTCCCAGCCGCGCGCCTCGCATGACTTGGCAACGGCGGCGTAGATGGCATTTAGCGTGCCGTGGCCCTGCAGGTGGTCAGATGGCTGCTCGACTTGTGAGCAGGACGGAGGGAAGAACTCACACAGCCTTCGACGGCGACGCGGACACCTTGGGTTTCGAAAGTTTGTGTTGACATAATGGGCTTGCCAGGCACTTCGGGGGATGTTGTGAAGTTGACGTTGACAGGCAGGTTCGTGGGAGCTCCACCAAAATTTATTTGCTTGATTGCACTTGACAACGGGTCTGTGACACACCTCAGTGCAGAGCACCTTTCGCATCTGGACTACAATTCCAGAAAGGCACAATCTTCGGCTTTGAATCGCACTTGTTATGAATTGAGAAGAAGAGATGGGTATTTTCGCTACAATATCAACACAACTCAACAACCGCGCGACACGCCTCCCAAGGCACACGCAACCTACTCGTCCACCCATGCGGAACGCTACACCTTTTGATAGCCCTCGCTGATTTCACCCTTGGCAGCCAACTGCTCGTGGAACGCCAACAGCTTGTCCGCTCCCACCTTCCAGCTCCAGTCGTTTTGCAGGTGATGCCCCGCGCCCTCAACCCAGGTCAGCCGCACACCCAGGCCTTCGTCATCCTGTCCTCCAACTCCAGCCATCGACTTGACCTCGTCAACCTTGGCATCGAGCTTTTTCGCCGCGACCAGTTGACCAACAGCCTTGCGGTAGGTGTCTGCCAGCTGCACCATAATGTCGTGCGTCATCAGCTTGTCCAGAGTTCCGGTCATGACCATGATGCGGTCGCTGCTGCCCCAGCCCCTAATGGAATTGATGAGGCTCTCAGTGTTGACGAAAGGCCTCATCATCGTCAACGGCCACCAGAAGCTTTCGTAGCGGTTCGAATGCAATTGGAACTCCAGGAGCTTCGTCATGGGGTAATCATCGCTGAAGAAGGCCCGCCTAGTCAGGAGCGGATGCGAAAGGGGCGAATTCGAGTGACCGCCCTGAAGCCACATGCGGATCACGAAGAGAGGGTCGAATTTCGCCCAATTGAGGTACACACCAAATCTGCACATCATCAGCCAGACGTCAAAGTGCGATGTGAGCACAGTATTCACTCACGATCCGAAGCCCGGGACAGCTCCTAGCAAGGCCAGGCCCTGTGCGTGCACCTGTTGCGCGCTGAGGATCCCTTGGAGGAGTCCGCCGCCGCTGGAATGCCCGACGAGCAGCGCTTCCTCTCCATGGCGCTCCTGTACCCAGCTAATAGCAGCAACGGCATCGCTCGCCAGCTGGCTCCTCGTTGTGCCGTAGACCATTCTCAGGTACGAAGGGTGCCAGCTGTTACCATGGCCGCGCAAGGAGACGGCATAACAGGGCACGTCGTGCTCGGCGAGGTACTGCATGTATTCGGTCCAGACCCAGGCGCTGCCCATGCCTCCATGGACGAAGACTATGGGAATCCTGCCTTTTGATGGTTCTGTTGGTTGGTTCGAGAGAACCTCGAGCCTACCAGAGGGCGTCTCGACCCAGTACCGCTCCAAGCCGGCTGGGGCATCAGGGATATCTCCTGACGGACGTGTCCAGTACAGCCAACTGTAGGAAAGCTGGAGGTTGAGCATGTCGAAGTAGTGTTGACGTGCGCTTCAGTAAAAATGATCAGTTTGAGGTCGCTCCAAATTATTTTCTGATGACACAGTGTCGGGTGAAGGCTCCTTTTGGTATTGCAGTATCTCGCTCCTCCAAAGATGGGCTGGACAGCACTTCTTGTAAAAAACGGCGCCTGCGCAGCCTGAGGCCTCGCGAATACGGGCTGAGTGTGTTCTAATCCCAAGCAAACCCGAGTAGTCCTCGCGCATGCGCAACATCGGCTGGCTCCGGGCAAGGAGTCATCGTAGTCGGGACGGCCAGGGACGGAACCACCCTCCCTCCCCCTACACCCACTGTAAGCACAGCGATTCGGGCGCTGTCGATTGGCCCGCCGGCGCCTCTGACGACCAGCTGAACTCGTTTCCAGGGGTTGCCCGGGGACTTTGCCTGGCGCATGACCAGAATAGATTGACTGGTGAGCAACGTAACGACTGGAGTACGCTACTGTTGCATAGCAATGTAGCACCTGCAGCGACGAGACTTTGAATGCATTTCTGGGTGATTGATACTTGTTCACGGGCTGATGGGCCTAGACTTTGCACGAGTCGTCATCAGGCCAGGATGGGCACTGCCATTGTTACGGCCATGCCGAGTGTGACTCTGAACAACTGGCAGGACCGAATCGTTTTTTCTTGTTCAATACATGGCCAAGTCGGTATAATACGCATTACAATCAAAGGCTTTCTACAATGTAGGTAGGTACCTTAGTATTCGGGCCAGCTAGGTAGAGAATGGAAGCTGCCTGGGCACAGATAGCACCCCCCAGCGCGAAGCTTGACAAGTCACTTATCTTATCGCTTCCGATAATTCACCGACAGCCTCCCACTGAGCATCCCCACGCAAAACTTCAACCCAGCTTGCCGCCCCAAGTCAGCCTCGCGCGTCGCCGGCCTCACCACCCTCATCACCGACCCCCCCCCCCCACCGCCCATCATGAGTGTGAGTCTACCCCCCTCCCTCCCCCCAGCACCTGCCGTCGACCTTGATCCGATGAATAGAACGCTGATCTCAAGTAGTTCGTACCCCTCAACCCGAGGCCTATGCTCCAGGACCTGTGCGTTCCTCCCTTCACCCCCCACCCTCCTCTCGCGATTCCCACGCACCTAGAGGCGCGACCTCAAAAGCTAAACCGCGCAATCCCCCTCCCCCCGCAGCGTCAACAAGGACATCGTCGTCCGCCTAAAGTGGGGCGACACTGAGTACAAGGGCCGGCTCGTCAGCATCGACTCGTACATGAACATCCAGCTCAGCGGCGCCGAGGAGTACATCGACCAGAAGATGACCGGCGCACTGGGCCAGGTCCTGATCAGGTGCGCCGCGCCTGCGGATCTCCCCTCGTCTACACGACGGAATGGCTGACAAACTGGCAGGTGCAACAACGTCTTGTGGATCAGGGCGGCCGACGCGGGCAGCAATGGCGACGTCAAGATGGAGGGTTGAGCCGCGCGCGCGCGAGAGATGGCACGAACGCACAATGCAGAGTCTATGCCTGTCCGACTACCTCCGAGTCAGTAGGCCGACACAGAATATCCAAAATGTGAATGCGGGGCGGTGGGCATGATGCTCCTGAGAGACGAATGGACAGATATGGGGGCCTGTCACCAGCGGAAACGAATGGCGTTTAAAGAGGGGTGGGAACGACACAATCCACAGCAATGGAAGTTTCAGGCTGGTTATTGCAAAAAAAGGGAAATTTGGCGATCAATCCGTTTATCCACCCTCATTCGCAGTCATCATAACGATCATCATCATCAGGATAGATACCCCGCCCTTCAAATCTTCTTTCCTGAAGCAGAAGACACTTCAGACCCGTTAATAGCTCCTATGCCCTCTTATGCCCTGCTACCAGAACTACGCATCACACTGACCCTTTTGATATTCGCGTCTAGCTCGGCAAGAGGTGTTCCCGGTGCTCTCACATCAGGCATGCAACCTTGCGGCTGCTCGTGAGCTCTGAGCTGCCAACCTTGATCCGCTGACCCTCACCCACCCAGGTGTAGGCCTCGATGAGCCACTCGTACCACACCTTGGAATCATCGGTCTGACGCCACATGCTAACCTCGAGCTCCGTGTCGGCAGGGTAGTATAGTGGTTGCTGCACTCCACCCGTCAGTCATGTACCTCTAACGAAGCGCTGGAAAGGAAGAAAAGGAAGTAGATGAAGAGAGCTGTACCTTGATGGGAAAATAGATCGGGAACCAGGAGATCATATCCTTGCTCTTCTGATCAATCTGGTCTGGGTGCGTGCTGATCTCGACCTTGGCTTTGTCGCCAAGGCGCGGCGCGTAAAGCACCGATTCGAAGTAGCCCGCCAGTCCGTGAATCACGCCCCTGGTACGGCACACAAAGGTCAGGTGGCAGAAGCGCGAGTTGTGGTCATTGGCGCCTGCGGCACTAGCCATGCTGCCTCCGCCGCCGCCCATGACGCCACCTGCGCGGCGGGCTTCCATCAGCTGCATTGTCGCTTCGGGAAGGGGGTGCTCAAACTCCCAGGCTTGCTGGAAGCGGGGGTGACCTGGGACCTTCTCCGCCGCGGCAAAGTCCATGGCAAAAAGACGAACAACCCAGGGCGTTTCAAAGGCGTTGGGATCCGTGGGTAGACGGGTCAGGAGGTCGGAGTGAATGCGCGGGTGGGCGACGGGGGTCATATGGGCCGTGTAGGACTCCGGGATGGAGATGCCGTGGGGAGCGAGAACGTGCTGCACTCCGTCGAGGCACTCCGGGGAGAGTTCGTTATCGGCGAAGGAACCGAGAAGCTCAGAGACGAGGATGTCGACCTTGCCGTAGACAGGGTTGTTGTCGGGAGTGCCGGACACGAGAGGGCCCTTCCAGGCGCGCATATCTGTCTTCACCACGGTCACGCGGCCACCCCAGACAAGTTCATTCTGGCGTAACAGGTAGACGTAGGCATTGGGGTTCTTCTCCACAGCCCAGACTTCGACCGCGACGCCCGTCTCGTTGGCAGCCTTGAGTGCACGAGTGACCAAGGGACCACGACCGGAGCCGGCGACGGCGATGACGACGGCTCCCTTGGGCGACGAGTACGCCCGTCCGAGGTCCTTCCATTCGGCCAGGAGCTTCCGCAATAGCTTCCTCGTACTGGTTGTACTTGACTGGATCACCTTCGAAGATCTCGTAGGTGGCCGACTCAAGGTTGTCCGAAAGTGGCTGAAGGGGTGATTGCAGCCAATCCTGAAAGCTCGTGAGGGTTGTCCTTTCGAGGTAGTTGAGGGGAGGCTGCTGAAACTCGAGCCACTTGAGGTACTCAATGTAAGCACGGAACGATTTGGGCTCGCTCTCCTTGGGGGGCGTTTCTCCGAGAGCAGGGAAGTCCGCTTGCGCCGCCTGCCTCGCCTCGGCATCGAGAGTTGCCAGATCTGGACCGGTGTCTACAAGAAGCAGCCAGGGCGCATTCTTGAGGCGCATGTAAGAGAACAAAAGATCTTGGTGTGTCTTGGGCAGGGCCGGGTGACCACTCGCGTTCTTCTTGAAAGTCTCGGGCCTCAGGGTCAGGTAGTGTAAGGGCTCAGCAAACCACTTCTCCTGGACTTCACGCTCGGGCAAGACCTTAGGGATCCTCAAGGCTAAGAAAAGACGTTGGCGGGCAGTTCACGCAAAAGGTTCTCGAGTAGGAGTAGAGTGGTGACATACCAACAAACAACCTCAGGCTGTATTCGCAGATGGTACGAATGACGTGCCATGAGTCCCACGTGCTGTACACATCAATGGCTTGGGCCGCTTTCTTCTCTTCGCCCAAGAGGACGGAAAGGGTATCGATCTTCTCCTCGAGGCCGGGTTCCCTGTACATGGGGATGTGGATGAGAAAGTTCAGGCGGCTGCCTACTGCAGGGCCGACATACTGGGCAGCCTGGTGGCGCGTCCTGAGGCATCAGATCTGGGCCGGGACACAACACTTCTGACGCCACAGAAGTTGCGTAGCAACCTCAAGGTTGAGGACCTGACGAGAAATGTTGGCGATGACAGGATTAGTGGAGGCCAAGTCGATCCAGGGGCTCGTGTAAGCGATGTAGGTGTTGACGACAGGGCTTGGGAACAGAGCTGTGTCCATGGGCGTCAGAGGCGGGATGATGGGGTCGGCCAGGCTCTGGGCATGGGGACCGGCCTCTTTGACGAGGGCAAGGTGGGCCTTGGCCAACTCGACTACGCGGGAATGGAAGTTCTTGTTCGTCACAGGGCTAGTCACAAAGGTTATCTGGGGGCACGATCAGCAACGGTTCTCGCTTGCGCCAAGTGAGCTTTCAACACAATCTTACACCAGCATTCAGAACCTGCCCATACTGCATATCATTAAGAGGCTCCTCTCGAGTAGAATCATGCTGTCCGAGATGAAAGTTGGGCCGAGCGGTGCTATACTCGCCGCCATCCTGGGAGTAGTTGTCGTTGTCAGCCATGGTGGGCAAATGCCGGTGGTGAGGGGCAGATGTTAATCCTGTCGGGGTCAAGTAGAGAGGTTCCTTTTTTAATAATGTGCTCTTGGTCGAAAATGGGTTTGGGTGAAACGTGGGACCTCCTCAGCAGAGCATGTCGATAGGGAAAATGAGTGACCTTGCCGCTGGTCTCTCTCTCCAGGAAATCAAATCGAGATCGACGGATATGAGCCGGTGTACCGAAAGATTCAACGGTCTGAATCAGTTTTCAGAAATTCAGTGAAAGAAGATCCGTCTCTGTCTTGCCCCTTGCCCTATTGGTCGGTGTACTCTGTCGGGCCCAGGACCCTGAGAAGACAGTGCCCATTGAGAGCATGACACAGACGGGTTCAAAGTCCACAAAGGTGCTGCCGCAAGTCGGTCGCGGGAGCAACCATGATGTTCCGGATCTTCAAATACGAATGGGTGTTGGCGATGTGAGGTCTTCAAGTCAACTCGTGAGATGAGACACCTGAAATCACCTACAATCAGGACGCATCTTGAACTGTCGAAAGCCACTTCCCGATCGCTCTCGCACAGTACACGGTTCTGGAAGGAATGACCCACCATTTGGCTGCCGCCCCTGCCGTGCGTGCGATCTGTCTTGCCTCGCCTTATCTTATCAGCATCCCTGGCAGGTGCTCCCCTCCAATTTTTTTTGACTAGGAAGGCGACTGCCATCAACAGGCTTCACCTTCCCATTTCCTCAGCCTCGAGCCCACCGTCGCCAACCTTATACAATTCTCCCTAGAGCTTACCTTCTGACTCTAACAACTTCGACAGAGTCGTCTGCAGCCATAGGAAAATTCGCGCCACTCATCCCTCTACTGGGTCGACAATGGCTGACGCCAACGGAAAGCGCCACAGCTCTGACGACGGTCAAGCTGCGTACGAGAGGCGGAAGAAGATGAAGACGGACAGCCCCGACATCAAAATGGAAAAATACGAAAGCATCGACGACAAGGTCAAGGCCAATCCCTACCTTGCCCACATGAACAACGGGGGCGGCGACGAGCCCTTTGCCGACTTCGAGACCCGTAACACCACAGCCAAGCAGGCCGCGGCTGTTGAGGACCTCACCCACAACGCCTTCACCGGAAAGGAGCATACGAAGAAATATTTCGATATTCTGCGTACGCGTCGCGACCTTCCAGTTCATAAGCAACGCCAGGAGTTTCTTGACAAGTACCACTCGACACAGATCCTCGTCTTCGTTGGTGAGACAGGTTCTGGCAAGACGACACAGATCCCGCAGTATGTCCTCTACGACGAGTTGCCCCAGCGCAACAGGAAACTCGTCGCCTGCACACAACCGCGTCGTGTGGCTGCCATGTCCGTTGCTCAGCGTGTCGCCGACGAGCTCGATGTGCCTCTAGGTGACGAGGTTGGTTACAGCATCCGTTTCGAGGACAAGACCAGCCCCAGAACAGTGCTGAAGTACATGACTGACGGCATGCTGCTCCGCGAGGCCATGCACGACCATCAAATGTCCCGCTACAGCTGCATCATTCTTGACGAGGCCCACGAGCGCACGCTAGCCACCGATATCCTCATGGCCCTGTTGAAGAATGTCGCCCAGCGCCGTCCTGATCTGAAGATCATCGTCATGTCTGCCACCCTCGATGCCCAAAAGTTCCAACGCTACTTCAACGACGCCCCCCTTCTTGCAGTTCCGGGTCGCACCTTCCCTGTCGAGATATTTTACACCCCTGAACCAGAAAAAGACTACGTCGAAGCTGCCATTCGCACTGTTCTGCAGATTCACGCCTCCGAAGGCGAGGGAGATATCCTTGTTTTCCTGACGGGCGAGGAGGAGATTGAAGACGCGTGTCGCAAAATCAACCTCGAGGCTGACGAAATGGTTCGCGAGATTGACGCCGGGCCGCTCGCTGTTTATCCGCTTTACGGCACCCTGCCGCCTGGTCAGCAGCAACGCATCTTCGATAAGGCCCCAGCACCATTCAAGCCTGGTGGCCGTCCCGGCCGCAAGTGCATCATTGCGACAAACATTGCAGAGACGTCACTGACCATTGATGGTATCGTATACGTTGTTGACCCCGGTTTCAGCAAACAAAAGATCTACAACCCCCGCATCCGCGTCGAGTCTCTTCTCGTGTCCCCTATCTCCAAGGCGTCCGCGCAGCAGCGTGCTGGTCGTGCTGGCCGAACAAAACCCGGCAAGTGCTTCCGTCTATACACGGAGCAGGCCTTCAAGAAGGAGCTCATTGAGCAGACGTACCCTGAGATTCTGCGTTCGAACCTGGCCAACACTGTTCTCGAGCTGAAGAAGCTGGGCGTCGAGGATCTTGTCCACTTTGACCTCATGGATCCCCCTGCGCCAGAGACGATGATGCGCGCCCTTGAGGAACTCAACTACCTGGCATGCCTTGACGACGAGGGCGAGCTCACGGCCTTGGGCAGCAAGGCCTCCGAGTTCCCCCTCGACCCAGCACTTGCCGTCATGCTCATATCATCGCCCGAGTTCTATTGCTCCAACGAGATCCTTTCCATCACATCCCTCCTGTCAGTACCCCAGATCTGGATGCGCCCTGCCGCTAGCCGGCGTCGCGCCGACGAGATGAAGGCACACTTTACGCATCCCGAGGGCGATCACCTGACGCTCCTCAATGCCTATCACGCCTTCAAGGGTGAAATCCAGAAGGGCGCGGACGTCAAGCGCTGGTGTCACGATCACTTCCTGTCCTACCGTCACCTTCAGAGTGCCGACAATGTGCGCGCCCAGCTCAAACGCATCATGGAGACGCACGAGGTTGAGCTCATGTCGACGCCGTTCGAAGACAAGAACTACTACAACAACATTCGTCGGGCTATGCTCGCAGGCTTCTTCATGCAGGTCGCTTTCCGTGAGAGCTCTGGCAAGGTGTATCGTACCATCAAGGATGACCAAGCCGTCATGCTTCACCCGTCCACAGTCCTCAAGACGGACTACGAGTGGGTAGTCTACAACGAGTTCGTACTCACCTCCAAACAGTACATCCGTACCTGCACCGGCGTACGCCCAGAGTGGCTTCTTGTGAGTTTGAATCCACCATACCCTTTCAACTTAAGCATTGAGCTTTCGGACCAGCTAACAGAGTCTTGCGGTAGGAAATCGCACCCACCTATTATGATCTCAGCACATTTACCAAGGGTGACGCAAGGTCAGCGTTGGTCCGCGCGTCAGAGAAGAAGCGCCGCAAGGAAGCTATGAAGGCGGGACGGTAAACGAGCGAAAGGCAGTCACCATTTGGGTCTTGGTATTCTGAGGACGTGGGGGAGGCATTCGGACGCGGCTCCGCCTCCGCGCGACTAGCTCAGCGACTACGGGGCAGGGTGGCCCTGTCAGCGGACATGGCCTGCAGAAAAGGTGTCACACAATTGACGAAGATGGAGCCAGGTAAATGATCTGTGTATCATCTGCCAGTCGCTGCAGGGACGAGGGAGTCGATAAACAGGAAGGGAGAAGAACGGACTCAAAAGTCGTGCTAGATGTTAACATGAAGATTTCTGACCAAACAGAAGCTTACGGCCTCTGCTCCGGTGCCCCCTCTGTTTTTCCTGCGCCTCTGACGTGCATCCGTAGCGTCCTCGGAAAGTAATTCGATATCGCTTAGGCGTATCCCGATGCCGTTGTTTGTGGCACGTTCTCCAGCGGCCCTCCTGAAAGCCCAGTGGAAGACTTGCTGTTTCCCTCATCAGGTCAAATAGCCACTCCGAAGCCTGTTCTTCATAGTCAAGGCCCGGTACCTCGAGGAGAGCAGAAGTGCACCAACAAATCATGGTCAAGCTTATACATCAGAATGAGTCTACGTGAAAACCGGCGGGCAAAGAAAGAGAACGGCCGGCCCTTCGCAGGTCCCAGAGCAACAGTGGGACGCCGTAGCCGGCCAGAACATCGGCCTCGCCATGGCTGTGTCGCCGGCGTCCCCCTGCTCAGAGGCTCCGGGGAACACAAGGGAGACACACCGGTGTGGGCACCCCCCCCCCCCTCCTTTTCCCTTGGTAGGTCTATATTTTTCTCCCCGACCAGCAGACTAGGGCCCCCCATCTGTTGTCTGCCCCCTTCCACGTGGGCGGCGCTGTATGATGTACCTCTGACAGACTCACCGGTCTGGTTTGATCCCAGTCGCCCATGCGAGAGGGGTATGTTCTGCGGCGCGTGTCCGGCCAGCTGGGTCGGCCGTCGCGGTGCCTGGATGTCGGGATCTGATCGGTCCTGCAGCGACCTGCGCGATCAGAGTGCCATTTGAGGGAGGGGAGAGTGTGGAAGAAGGAAACTAGAAAAAAAGGAATCTCGACAGGAAAGATCCGAAGTCCCGAAAGGCTGGGCACCAAGAAAATCCTTCGAGGGGTTTCGTCGCGATACCATAGCCACAACCTCTTAGAGCAGTGAACCCCCTCCCTGGGACGTATGTCCGTCTTGAACAGATGCGCTGTTCCTACTTGGCGCCCAGCATACTCGTCACTGTCCTTTGACGGAACTCCTCTGTGCCATGTCCGGCACTGCAGTGAGGCTGGTGACTGAAAGCACGTGCCCACCACCCCCGTTGTGCGTCTGACGATGACAACTCAGCGGTCGCCGGGCAGGGTGCTTCCAGCCAGGGCTCCAACAAGGGGACTTTGCCGTTGAGACGTCTCGGTCTTCTTGGGTCCTTACCCATCCTGGCGCTCGATTGTGTGGCATGCAGAGGAAGATTGGTGACAACCTGGCTAGGGGGCTGCGGGTAGCTGCTACTGTGTTGGGTATGTACTTCGTCGACATGTCCACGTGACGTACGTACGATGATCGCGGGAGCGATTCGCGCCGTCAGAGCGTCGCTGTCCGAGTACGAATCCAATCATGACTGCCAGTGGCAGGCTTCCATCTCCATTCTGGGCGTGTTTGATTTTTTGTCTTCACAACTCTCGTTCTTTCAATACACCGCCTGCTCATGGTCGAACGCTGTGCGCATCGGAGCGGGGGGCTTCGTAAAAAGCCACCATCATATGAAAGACGTTACCACCAATTTGTACCCGATGACGGATGAGTGCCGGCCCTGGAGCTGGTCCACCGTACTAAGGCGCGTTTTGGCGACGTTCCCGTGCGCGATGGCACCTCTCAGAACGTCTAGCTCCCTGTCGGGCTGAACTCTCTTCGCTCACCCCTCCTTTGCTCTGCAGCACATACATCATCCTTCCTTTACACGATGCACACAACCTATTTCAGTCGTTTCTGCCTGCATTCAATGCTTCTAGCCCCTCCCTGTGATCCCTGTCAGAATCATCGGGCTGCCGCCGTGGTCGGTGGTGAAAATGTATCGTTGAGCTAGGGCGGCGGGACAGATGCAGTTTCCATCACATGATGGCTCTCTACCCAGTCAGCATGTACCTTACTTGGAAAGCTCGGCGTGAAATTCCTGGCAGCGGCCAGTCATCGTGGTCGATATCCGATGAGAGTGGACGGTCCAGGCCCCAGATTGCGGGAGCAAGACAAAGTCGGGCGCACTAGGGAGCACAGACAGGGTATATGGAAAGGGCTGAAGGGCACAGACAGGGGTGGTAGGACGACCGCCGGCCGGCCGGACGTCTTTTGCCTGGCTCTTCCAGGCAAGGGTTCTTCGTCCTATGGGCGTATGCACACTGGCGTATATGCGCTGACAGCAAGCAGGACGCACGACCAAGGCGACAACATGCGCCGACATGATGGCCGGTCCGCTCGAATAGAGTTCGGTGTTGCAGGGTATCGACACCGGGGACAATGGCGCGGAGTGCCAAGTTGATCGGCACTGCTGCATGAGGAGTGGACGTGTGCAAGCAAGCGGCGGCGGCGGCATGCGTACTGCAAGGTCAGAGCCCTGCTATTGTATGAGCCACTTCGATTCGGCTTAAGCGTGTCAGCCACTGGTAATAAGGAAGAGCGGCTCGAGGTGCGGGCAAAAGGCTGGGGGTAGTCTTTGCATATTGGCCCACGCCAACATGTCAACCGCGTTGCCTCAGACAGTCCATCAAACGACCTGCCGTCGGATGGATGAAGCCTTTCTCCTCGATCTTCGGATGCCGCAGAAGAGTCCTACGGAAGGTGGACGTCGACTGTCCCACCTGCACCCACTCCATCTCCGTGTACCTCGGCGAATCCTTGCAATCGAGACGGGGCATTGAATTGCAAGCTTGACGCCCGTCAGGATTGCAAAACGCGTATTTCGAGAGTAAGACTGTGCGGAGCATGGGGTCCTGTGCCTTTTTGACCGGTTTCTTTGCCTCTGCTTTAACCTACCTGACCTATTCCACCGCCTCCGCCTGAGCATTTCTCAAGCTCAATGCTTTTTCAGTGACGGGACAACGCGAGGTACACCTGCCAAGGATGACACGAACGTTGACTGATGCACAGGTAAGATTTGGTGGGAAGCTGGAACAAAGAGTTCACACCTCAAAGTAAGTACTGAAAGTGGGGATTCGGAAGGAGGAAGGAGAGAAACGGGCCTCTCTCTCTCTCTCTCTTCTCTCTCTCTCTCTCTTTCTGCCCCGAACACGCCCCTTGAGCAAATCGACACGAGTCTTGGGGGGGAAGGGGATTAACATGGCAAGATTCCGTCATCACCACTTACCTAGAGGAGTATCGTTGTGACTCTGACAGCCTCCGAGCGACAACGTTACGAGCGTTACTTGCCTTTGGTATATACGATGGTTTACTCGCCAGCTGTGCCCTCCTGATGCCGACCTTCCGAGCACCACCTCCTGTTGGAGTGTCAGACGTTGGGGTTACACAAGCCTCTGCAACGCCGGTTTGTTGGATTATCAATGTGGGCGGGTTGTGGCGACATTTTCAGGATAGGTTGCGTCTAGGTGCCCCTTCGGGACCCCTACCTTATGCTGGTCTCGACCGTCCATACCGTGCCGTCTATGCACCTACATCAACGTTAATATCTCAATTCTCGCGCGCTTTTCCGTCCCGCAACGCAGCGGCATAGCTTGCGGCAGGCAAGAGAGGGGCATTTTGTAGGGATGGTCATGTAGTAGCCCAACCATTGCTCCCCACGCTCACCTCAGTCCCTTTGCTGGCTGGTAGCCTGGACAGCTCAGTTGTATCTGCGATATTTTTTCTTCCTCATCAGCAGTTATTCGTTCTTGTCGTCAGTGCATGCCATCCAACCTGACGGTGGGCGGAGCTGTCCTCATTGTTTGGACCATGATCGGGAACGATTCCTAATAGGGTCTGACCTGCATATCTAGTCGCCTGGCTGCAGTCGTAGAAGATCCACGTGCGATCAGCAATCGCCGACCTCTCGGGCGACAGTCACGCTCCCAAGCGCCCTTTCTCGATCTCCTGCTACCGCCGCCAGTGAGGGGTTCCTCTCGTAGAACACTGTTGCTTCGGAATATGTGTTGTTCAGTAGCTAATCACGATGAAACTGGTAGATGATCCCCAATTTCAACTGCTTAGTACATGGCAGCGAAGGGCGCTACTCGAGTCAGCTAGGGACCTATTAGTCTGAAATCTTGAGAACCATTCGTGAGGTGAGGTGACGCGCGAGCAATGATCCATCGTCGAAGTATGAACACCTCCGCCCGTCTCCATTGCCTAGAACTATCGCTTAGGATCCATGTTGCCACCGGGTCTTGAAACTGTCCCCAACCGCGAAAAGATTTGCAGCCAAGCCATTCGACGTTTTCTGGAACGCCGATTCCTTGCGTCGATCGAGCTCGATATTCCTACTCCTCTTGCAATCTTTCACAGGGTCATGGTCATCAGGGGGGCGACAGCTCGGGGATAATAACCACTCGCAGCTCCCCGAGGAGCAATGTCTAGCCGCCGCAAGGTTGATCACTCCCTGTCGGTATGCTTGTTGGGTGGCCGGCTTGAAATGTACTCCATGTCTCGCTCCTCATATGCAGTGGAGGCTGTGTCTGGGATGGCCTTGGGGTGTGTTGGGACACGCGACGAGGTCCTGGGCAGTTTATCTCCATCACTCCTTGTGGGCAAGTCGTTCCTGGCTGTCAAAGTCGGCAGTTGTTTGTCTCTTTCTCGTCTCATCGTGGCAGCTCATGCCGCAGTCTTCGCCGCCAATCTTAACAGAAACGCCTGTGAACTGCGATGGGTCTTTACAGTCCCATGACAGCCCAGGCAGCTTCAGAGGCGCGCAAATTTTCAAGCCAGCATGCAACGTCTCCATACACACCAAGCCGTGCCGAAACTGGAGCTAGTTAAAAATCGTGAGCGGAGCGGAAACGGTCTGGCGCCTCACGTA